TTAACAAAACTCTCATTTAGAGGAAGCCGAATCACCTCCCCTCAATTCACTAATCCCCCATTTTAAAAGGAGGGAAATCCTAATATTTTAAGTGCAAAATCCCACCCTCATTTGTCACTACCTGTGGCCAAAAATAGCCACAATGAATAGCCACTTAATAAAAAAGACAGAAAAAATGGATAATTGATGCTAACGGTTTTAAATGGATTATTTATTGTATGTGTAAGGCCAAACCTGCTGAGCACTGACCAAGGCATCACTCAAAATTTAACAAGATGAATTTTCCATCTTTCTGACACAGTGACTATAGATCTCAACTATTAAATGAATTTGTCTTTTTTCTGTCTCTGTTTTATAAATGAGAGCCGTTTTGGCTCCTTATGTGTGTCCCCCCTTCCTTCCCCCATGTTGTTTCCTTCTAAGTGCTACCACTGACAAAATGCATTCTGTAAAACCTGGCAGTGAAGAGTTTGGCCAGTGCTTTTCAGAACTATATTTGAATTGATTTAATACTGACTCTTCTTAGCTCAGGTACTGGCCCGGAAAGGAAATTTAAAAAAACACTCAAGCATAAATAATTATTTTCTGAAGTCTCTGGTTGGGGGCAAGGGAAAGAACCAGGGAGCAAAGTTTCAGCAGCCTTTTAAAGGGGTGTATGTCTACTCACACAGAACTGATCACTGAGCTAGTATAATCATTGGTCATTCCAGGGAGATGGCAGTCATTTGACTATCCACTACAGGGACATTAAAAAGGGGCTCTGCTCTTTTCTCTTCACTGCCTTGAAAATTAAGCCCTCAACTACTGTCACACAAGCACATGAAAGAATTTAAAAAGCAGTCTGTATCATGGAGACATAGAGGCCTGGAAAGCTATGAGAAGAGCAATTCTGATTTCTCTAGCTGCAGAGCTCTCAGGGCTGGGCACTGTCCCCTCTTCCTGGCTTTCGCTGTCATGGATAAATGCAACCTCCACGCTTACTTCAAAAAGAATTGCCAGAGCATACAAATTGGAGCGTGTGTTTCCTATTTGGTTTGAATTTCTCCACTGCACTAAAAGTGTCCATTAAAGAAAGTGGCAAAACTCCTATGGAGTCCCGTAGTGCAACATCAGGCACTCATGGGGGAGAGGCAATTGTTTTCCTCCCCTAAAGGGACAAAGAAGGAATCATGGTATAGGGAGGTGAGGACTGTTGCACCATCACTCAGTACTTTTAAATGGTTAAAACACAAGGTAAGATTAAGGGGTGGTTTACTGTAAGTGCATATTTTTTCTCTGATTTTTAAAAAGTTGTTTGAATCTATGGGTAGGGTAGCAGTACTTGTTTATTTCACCCTATTTATGTTAGAAAACAAAGATCCAACAGACATTTCCTGAAAAGCAGGGGTAACCATGACAAGCACAGATTGTTAGAGAGTGCACAGCCTCTGTTAGTGAGAAACAATGAAATAAGAGCATATGAAATAGCATACAGAAAACAGCAGATGATAGTATTTGGGGCAAATGAATATGTAAGGGGGAACAAAGGGGAGATGAGTGATGGTTTTTCCCCCCAGAAAGCATGCTCACAACTGATTCCTGAATTAAATGCCTTGAAGTGTAGTGTCACTGCCTTTATAATATGGGTAGGTAGGGGCTTTGGTCTATTACTTATTGACCAAACTGTCTCTGCAGGCTTTAGGGGCAGCAACTCTTCATAACAGATGTCAATTTTCATCAGCCTAATGAATATGGAAGTATAGTTTATGGTAACAGCAAAAGAAACTTCTATTCTGATTTTGAAGATTTGTTTGACTCTATGGCTAGGGTAGCAACTCTAATTTATTCCACCCTATTAATTCCAGATTAGGGATGTAAGAGTGTAACCATTTAAATGGTTAACCGATAATCATTGTACCAGTTTTCATTATGGTTATATTCTTTGCAGTGCATGCCAGCTCTTGGACACCATCCCTGCTCCTGTGGAGCCGGCTGCTGCCCCACGTTGCAGACTCTGCAGTAAAAATCCTCCTAGTAAGATTTTTAACTGTTACTATAACATTTTAGATAAACATCCCTATTCTACATGCAACAGATATCACCTGAAAAGCAAGATTAAGAAGGGACCTCGAGAGGTCATCGAGTCCAGTACCCTGCCCTAATGCAGGACCCAGTACTGTCTAGACCATCCCTGATAGATATCTGTCTAACCTGCTCTTAAATATCTCCAGAGATAGAGATTCCACAACCTCCCTAGGCAACTTATTCCAGTGTTTAACCACCCTGACAGTTAAGTTTTTCCTCATGTCCAACCTAAACCTCACTCGCTGCAGTTTAAGCCCATTGCTTCTTGTCCTATCCTCAGAGGCTAAGGAGAACAATTTCTTTCCTTCCTCCTTTTGACACCCTTTTAGATACCTGAAAACAGCTATCATGTCCCCTCAGTCTCCTCCTTTCCAAACTAAACAAGCTTAATTCTTTCAGTCTTCCTTCATAGGTCATGTTCTTTAGACTTTTAATCATTCTTGTTGCTCTTCTCTGGACCTTCTCCAATTTCTCCACATCTTTCTTGAAATGTGGTGCCAAGAACTGGACACAATATTCAAACTGAGACCTAATCAGCGCAGAAGAATGGCTTCTTGTGTCTTGCTCACAACACACCTATTAATGCATCCCAGATTCATGTTTGCTTTTTTTTGTAAGAGCATCACACTGTTGATTCATATTTAGCTTGTGGTTGACTATGACCCCTAGATCCCTTTCTGCAGTACTCCTTCCTAGATAGTCACATGTGTCTAGACTACTGTTTTTTTCTGAAAAAACTTCCCCTGCATTTAGACTGCCACCGCGCTTTTGAAATAAAAGCGAAAGAACGTGGCTTTTTTTTTAACCGTGGTAAACTTCATTTTAAGAGGAAGAACGCCTTTTTTTTCCGAAAGTGCTCTTTCGAAAAAAGGCATTCTTGAATGCAAACAGGGCTTTTTTGAAAGAGAACATCCAGACTGTCTGGGTGCTCTCTTTCGAAAAAGCGGCTCGCTTTTTTGAAAGAAGTGGTTGCAGTCTAGATGCTCTCTTTTGCAAGAGGCTTGTAGACTAGACCTAGCCTATGTGAGATTGATTGTTCCTTCCTAAGTGGGATACTTTGCATTTGTCCTTATTAAACTTTATCCTATTTGCCTCAGACCATTTCTCCAGCTTGTCCAGATCATTTTGAATTTTGACCTTATTCTCCAAAGCAGTTGGCCTTATCCTCCAAAGCAACCCCTCCCAGCTTCATATAATCCGTAAACTTAATAAGTGTATTCTCTATGCCAATATCTAAATCGTTGAAGATACTGAACAGAACCAGTTCCAAAACAGATCCCTGTGGAACCCCACTTATGCCTTTCCAGGAAGATTGTGACTACTCTCTGTATTATCAGATCAACAATGTATGTTGCACGCTACCTATATGCATGTGGACACAAGGATGCCCCATTCCTATCAAATATTCAGTAAGGTAACATGTTCAAATCAAAGGCTGAAGTGGCTTAAACAGGAGAAATCAGCAATCCTTTTCCACTAGATGAGAAATAACCCTCCAAAAGAAAGTAAAAATCAATGAGAGAGCTGAAATTTATAATCCTGACTTCAGCACAGTTCAGTGCTACTTAATGCAATAACTCCTTAACTTTTTACTACCGTAAGTATGCCCACCAATTGTCATTTTTTTGCTAGGCACTGAGAGTTCAAAGTGGGGGAGGGGGAGGGCAAAATAATAGGCAAGTGTTCTCTTTCACCAGGGCTGCTGTCTCCTTTTCTCTCTGCCAAGACTACACTGATCACCTACAGCAGCACCCTAACCTCCCTATCCTTGTCCAGTGCAGAAGGAACAACCTGTGGAGTGGATAGCAAGCTTGCCCCTCACATCCTGCACTAATGGCTCCAGTTCAGTGCAACCTGGACTTCAGGGTTCCTTGGCCCAGCCAACTCATCCCTTATGCAAGAGGTGGGCAGGCCAAACATGAATAGAAATGCAACCCCATATGCCAGGTTGCAATACTTAGAGCAGGAAAATCAGGACAGAAACCAACAATCTCCAGTCCTCCCTTCTGACCCATGCTCACAACCCATGTACAACTTTCCCAGGACCATCCTTTGGGAAATACTAACTTGGATTAATAATCTGATCAGTTTAATTCTTTCCCGAAGTGTTACAGAATTATGTATTCACTACAAATACATAAGTATTTTATTAGGTACAAATATCAGGGAGGAAGGCAGAGGCTTCAATCATTTGTGACAGGATATCGCAGAAAAACTTTTTGAGTCTTCAGTATTGACCTAGCAGAGTTACCATTCTTTTAGTGGCAAGAGAAAACACGTACAGGTTGCACTTCCCTGAACCAGGACTCTTTGGTCTGGCAACATTTATGGGAGGATGAAGTTTGGCAGAAGCAGCCCAGCCAGGGCCACTATAGCGGGTCAGAGACTGCATGCTGCCCAGCAAGAGGACCAGGGCTGTGGAACACTTGGGTGACGTGGGGACAGGACTGCAGCAACCTGGCAGGGGCAGCCTGGCCAGGCCGCAGCAGTCCAATTTCAGAGTTGGGGCTGCGGCAGTCCGGATGACAACGACACAGGAGCTGCATGCCACCTGGGAGCAGGGCCAGAGCTTTGGCAGCCCAGCCAGGAGTGGGGCAGCCAGGTCGGGGTCAGGAGTGGGGACTGCCAGCAGGCAGCCCAGCTGGGGTGGAATAAGCTAGAGGCAAGAAGGAGTGGAGGGCTGGGAAGCCATAGCAGGGGACCTCCCCTGGTCTGGCAGATTCCCTCCTCTACTGTAACATGTAGAAAGATGTGAAACCTATTTTTGGGGGGGTCTGGACACCGTAGGAGGAAGGATGACAAAAGCTATCATCTGAAGAAAATAGTTAATGAAATGTGAAATGACTAAATTGCTATCACGTTCTAGACAAAAAAATATTTCAACTATAAATCTGCATTAGCTTAGAACAGGAGAGGAAACAAAATACATAGGTCTGTTTAAGTATTGATTTTTTAATAGCTTGTTTCTTTATATAGGGAACAAAGGGAAGTTTTATCTTTTAGAAATACAGGTATCAGTTGAGTTTTTAAATAAAACCTGATGGTTGCTACAGGTCATGTACATTTTTTGGTTTCAGTTTGCGTGTTTATTCATTAAGCAACACTATTTCTGTAACATTTTATCAAGACAAATTTAAGTACAAGTACTGTTGTAGATATAAAATATCTTCATGCTTATTGTGACACTCAGTGCAATGAAGAAAGTGTCACTGTGCACCTGACTAAGTTCTAGACAAAGACCGCTGCATTCTGCTAGTGACACATTCAACCTGCAGCATTTTATTTATCAAATCCACAGAAACAGATCTGGTGAAGTAACAGGAATTCTTTCCTAGTCTGGAAAACTTTATAATGCTCATTCAACAATTACAATCTTTCATTTTAAAATATTCACTATAGATGTTGTAATATCAATACGAATAATGAATAAGAATTTTAGAACTGGACACTAAAGTAACTGAAATTTCAGCGGAATTACATATAAAAAGGGCTCATATATATATTTTCAATCTGTGTATTCACTGGTCAGAATAAAACCTGTATATGTATATAAATGGGTAACATTCAGGATGTTGCACATGAACAGCTGCTTTGTGCCTAAAACAATATATTTAAACAGAACTTAACTTCTGCTTTCCATTACTTTGCCAGTGTGCTTGCCCTTCAGTTAAAAAAAAAAAAAAAAAAAAAAAAAAAAAAAAAAAAAAAAAAAAAAAAAAAAAAAAAAAAAAAAAAAAGAGAGAGAGAGACACCTTATTTTTCCCCTCCTAAATCTATCAGATCCATTATATATGGTGATGACCCTAAATTATAAACCGTATTATATAATGAGGCAAACTCAAGGGCATTAAATACTAATGTACTTCTCTGGGTTCAGTAAGCTAAACAAGCCAAAGTAAGTCTCTCTCGAATAAAATCAATATTTAATGAAAATAGCAACAGCCCTTAATATACAAAACTGTGGGTTTTATTAATTGTGTAATCCTTGCATTCGATGTAATAAAAGCAACATTTTTTGAAGTGAACTTAAAAAAATACCATTGTATTTTTGAATTTATGAAAGTGAACTGCCCCCCTTACTGTAGTTATACAAATGTGCTAAAAAAACTACTTAAACATATGAATTTAAGACTTTACTTTATTCAGCAAATTGGTTTATTTACACAATGGTGAATGCTGGTTGAATTTTGTCAATGTAAATAAAAACAATCGAAGAGACAATACTGAACTCTCAATTTCTCCATATATATACTCAGAGCAGAATTGACCAACTGTTTCCTTACCTGTATCAGGAACATCAAGCGCAACAGTGGGACAGTATCATAGGACACTGATTTAACAATAAACCAAAGAGGTCCAGTAATACTTTGGGAATTTACTGATGCGTGTACTAACTTTTTTGTTATTAAAAGTCAGCAAAACCAGCACGAAATTCGGTCTAATGTCAGAGTATAACTCTGAGATCAGTAGGTCAGTAAAAACCTTATCAGATCATACACAATTTATAAAGTGACCCAATCTGCTTCAAACCACTATTACTGAAACAAAATGAATGAGAACAGATTACTCTCTAAAAGGCAACCGTGATCTGATAAGGATTTAACTTAATGGAAGTTTAAAAAAAATATTAAGAATTGCAGAGCACAGCCCCTATTAGAACAAGCTAACTTTCCAGACTTAAAAAAAAAAGACCAAAAAAAAAATTAAAATAAAAAAAATTAAAATAAAAAAAGAGAAAGAAACCACTTCAACATGAAGCTACCATACAAAGTTTTTCTGTTTCGTTTTTCTTTTTTTAAGAGTTCACAGTTCCAATTTAATCCTGGCTCTTTAGAGAGAAAGACAGTTTTGGCCTAGACTTTCCCTTGCCCAGGATCATTTTTTGCTCTTCTTTTTGCTGACGTTGTCTCTCTTGTTCTAGTTTCATCCTCTCCTCATGAATCTTTCTTTGTTCTTCAACAATTTTCAATTGTTCTTCAGCCTGTATATAAAATCAGTAGAATTTAGAATACGTAATTTTCTGTAGTCCCTTTATTAGGGCCCAATTCTGCAAACTCAGATGTGTAACTTCACTCATGTTACAAGTCCCAGTTTCTATTTTCAACACACTTTACAAATACCATGTGTACATATTTCTATGCATTAAAGTGTTAAATATAATGCTGATCCTCTTTTCATTATTAGGGAACTCAACTTACAAAAATGAATATTCTCCTTTTTATTGCACCTCTTTGTGTTTGATAATTTAAAGGGGCTCTATCAATACAGTACAAGCAAAACCTGGCCAAGTTTTCATCCGCTTTCTTTCTTAACCTGTTAAAAGTAACAACTTAAGGTAAAATCGTGTAAGAACTTACAGAGTAAGTTTAATGGATGGACTCAGGCATAAAGTTATTTCTGTCTATTTGAATTACCAATGAATGAAAAATTAGATGAAGAACTTCTGTATTATCAGGTTTTTATTTTGTTCATTTCACAGTATTAAGCATATAGTTTGTGTGAATAATTTCATCTGTGTGTGTAGTTCTTTTTCCATAAAGTGACAGAAAAACAAATGTGGTTGTAAACCCACAAAAACTGAAATGAGATTTTAAACAGGTGTACATCAAGCAGCCAGTTTTACATAGGTCTTATCTACAAAAGAAATCTGTCTTGGTTTAAATAAGCATGTGATTTTAAACAATTTAGTTAAACTGCTGCAAAACCCGTATGTGACCCGGCTTATTTTGTATTATTTCAAACTGATCAACCAAAATCAAACTACTCAAATCAAAACAGTCTCGATATAGGCAGGGCTCACCAACTGCGCAGTTCGACGCGCTGCGCGGCTTGTAATCTACTCGCCACGGGTGAGTAGATTATATTAATTGTCAAGCCCTACATATAGGGATGCAATGTTTCTGCACTGATTTAATTAAGCTGGCTTAAAACATACTGATTTACTTTAAACCAGTGAAATTTTCAGAGAGAATCTGCAGTACACGGGCTGACAATGTTCTCCCCACAACTGCACATTGGAATTTCACTTCTGTCACACATGCTTAAAGGCAGGGCTCGACAAATAATGCAATCTACTCACCTTTGGTGAGTAGATTGCAACCCGGAAGAGCCGGGTTTGGGCGATCTGCACATGCGCAGAATGATCTGCGCATGTGCAGATCGCCGGACAGCATGGCTGGCGAGCAGGGCTCACCATGGTTCGGCAAGCCCTGCATATCACAGTGAAAGGATACATTGGGAGGTGGAAAGCAACTGTTTGCCATCAAAGTCAAGGGGAACATTCACACTGATTTCAATGAGAGTAGGATTGGATGTTAAAAAAAAATAAAATAAAAAAATCTTACCTAGCACATCAGACAATAGGATTTGAACATGTCTACATTAAACTTCACTTCTACCTACCAGTTTAGCTTGTGCTTCTGCAATTTTTCGATTATTCTCTTCTAATGTTCCCTCTTGCCATCAAAGTCAAGGGGAACATTCACACTGATTTCAATGAGAGTAGGATTGGATGTTAAAAAAAAATAAAATAAAAAAATCTTACCTAGCACATCAGACAATAGGATTTGAACATGTCTACATTAAACTTCACTTCTACCTACCAGTTTAGCTTGTGCTTCTGCAATTTTTCGATTATTCTCTTCTAATGTTCCCTCTAGTTCCTTCGCTAGCCTTCCTCAGAATTCTTTTGTGAACTGACTTACGGGGCAGCTTTACAGCCACCTACTTTGTCTCAAGAGTAAATTGTGCAGCCACTAAAATTGGTCTCGAGTACTAATTTAAATCATCCCTCCCAGTCCAAACAGCAACCAACTAAACCCTCCCTAATCATAGATTCCTGACTGTTTATTACTAGTATTTTAATACCACACAAATGAACAAGGACAACTACAAAAACTGGATAGTATTTATCAAATTAAAATAGTAATATATAAAATATAAATAAAGTGAATAGTTTGTCTCACCAATTAAGTATACCTACGTATTCTTTACCTATACTCCTTTAATCAGCATTAAAAGTTGAATATTTACTGTCTTGTCCAGTGTCCTGCAGAGTGTGCTCCTCGGCTGCCATACGCGCCAGCTTCCTCTTTAAAATGATTTGTACTGTTAGCTTGGCAATACCTGCATCAGCAGCTCAACCATTTATAAAGAAACAACATACAAGGAAGGCTGAGCTGAGGAATGCAGATGTTTATGATAAGAAGGAACAAAAATATGTAAATCATTCCTAAGGCAAACAATTAATAAGAAAAATACATTTACTGTTAGTGAAAAATACAAATGGTAATCCATACTTCATGGAACTAAGGGCTTCTTTCGTAGGGAAAATGATGGACTTAGCATTCAGTATTTTGACAATTTTAAGACAGCTTAAACTGTCATCTACAGTTTGAACTGGAATTCAGGAGTCCAGGGAAGGCATAATCAGGAAATAGAGCCTTATAAATTGCTGCTTCCTTGGTGAGTTTAATAAAAACAAATATGAAGAGTGCGTGAAGGTTTTTGAGGTGCTTCAGTTCACATAATAAATATCCAAATTATTTTAATATTTGGAAGATTTTATATCAGCCAGATGTTTGTGTCTGTGTAAAAAAAAAGTTAATAGGAAACAAAACAAGCATATGAAGAAAAAACTTCTTATGAAGACTAGTAATCAGCTACTTAGCGAGCATGCTGTGTTCCAGGAATTGAAGTTTATTTTCCATGGTAGAGCACTGAAGAAACTACTCCGTATCAAACTTCAATATTGGTTTTAAAAAACCTTTTTGTTAATGGTGTATCCATTTAGTCAACTGAAATCCACTATTCACAAACTTTTGCTGAAATTAGTATCTAAAGTAAAAATGTTTCACTTAAAGATGAACTTCGAATTGCACACATGTGAAATTCTGCATATCTAAAGTCTCAGCAATGAGCTTTTATTTCAGAGAGATTATATTGGCAAACAAGTGATGTTCTGCCTGAAAGGGAAAGCATCATTATTAATGGCTTTCCTACTGTAAACTGATCAAGTTTTTCCATTTAAACCAATGGGTAAAAGTAGTACGGAGTGAGAGAGTTAATGGACACACAGTGCTACATAGCTAAATTTTCTATAAGGTTTTAAAAGTTTGACTTTAAATTTTTGGATCCTGGAGTAATTAGTGAAGACAAGCATCAAAGCCTTAGTAGCAAATTACTGTCCCACAGAAAGACGTTTTTCAGCTTTTCTTCCAGCTGCTGATAAAACAAGTCACATGTTTCGCTTGACTTCAGACAAAAACAACCTGCTCCTTAATAAATTCTAGAGGAAAAAAAGGAGTTAGTAGTTACTGAAAAATGGAAATAATGATTTGGAATTAACTCCTTGGTGAAGATGGTGGCTGGGCTTATGTTCAAAGTACAGGAATTAGTCCAATGTATGCTCAAAGAGAATGTTTGTTTTAAAGGGAAAACAGTAAGAAAACCTTCATAAAGACAGGTACTGCAGCTCAGTGCTGGACCCTGCTGTTTTCCTGACTGAAGGCAAAAAGCCTCTTACAGTCTAGGTAAATAAAATGACACAAACGAAGGATACATAATTATAAATTTTAACCCTTTCCCCCCAAATAAGAAAGGTTTGCTGATAAATCCTGCAGCCATGGCAAAAGTTTCAAACAATTCTCAAATATGTAGGTCACTTCCATTAAAATTCAAGTATCCTTGTACAGGTTTTAGGAGAATAACTGTTTAAGTATCAGTGAGCTCCTCTGAATAAGCTAAAAATTAAGTTTCGCAGCAATGCAAGTTTACACGAGAAGGGAATTAGATTTTCTGTATTCCATCTCTTTCTGAACAGAACAGGAGGCACAACCAGAAACTGAAAGTTTTGCCATGGACTGTCTCTACTTTCCAAACGACCGAGCGTTACCTCTCTGGCTTTTTGTGCCGCAAGTTCAGCTTGTCGCTGTCGCTCGAGTTCTTCGAGCAACTGTTTTTCCATGATGCGCTTAGCCTCCTCCACCCTGCGGAGAACTTCTCGTTCAATCTCATCCTTCCGTTTCTCCAGCTCTTCCTCAACACGTTTAGCCACAAGCTCTTCCACTCTTCGAGCTGTCTCTTCTTCTATGAGTTTCTCTTCAATTTCTTGTTGGCGTCTAGAAAGAGAGACATGCAAATTATAATTAAATTAGTTATTAAATTACATTTCATTATTGAAAAGTTTAAAATTTACAGGTTGAAGTAGAAGATTGATTTATATATTTAAATGTTTCCCTTTATTCTTTGTTTACACACTACCCATACAAAAATATGTTTTACATTTGGAAGTAAAGGAGTACGATGACGACCACTTATTAGAAAAAAAAGCCATTGCAACATACCATATTTAACCCATCTTAAACTTGTTACATTTAAGAACCAAATAGCATTTAAGAACCAAATAGCATTTTGAAGAGCTCAGCAAAAGGATGATTTTGACTCTGAATGTTACTTAAAACAAAGTAACACTAAAACATAGCTATCCAGCTAAAGAACCCATCCTCCTTTCAAAACTCAGAACATTTTCTGTTCTGTTACACGAAGTAATAAAGCACTACCTTACAACCTCCACCTCCAAGGCACCAAACTGATCTCTAACTAAAGCAGAAACAATAAAATGTGTAGTCTGAATAGTCCTAACCTAAAGCTTCCAGGTGTTGTAATCTAGGGCTCCAATAAATTTACCTTATCACATATCAAGTGCAACTGACCTGCTTAATTTCTTTATTTTGGTATTGAGTGTCAAACATAATTGTAGAAAAGCAAAGAGTATCAATTTTGAGTCCCAAATAAAGTAATGTTTTTGAGAGAAAAATCTTTATAAACACAAGTGTGGTTTATTTTTAGTAAGATACAATTTTTTGTTTAAAAAAAGGCTGCTCACCAAATACAATAGGATGCAAAAAAGGTATATTGACTTAACTGTAATCCCATTCAGTTTTTCTGAAGAGTTAAATATTGGGTTAGATTCTATAAATGCTTAATACTTGTTGTAGTGCTTACAACCATGAAGATGAAAAGCCTCCTCATGAAAGCAATGCACTGTAGTAAACATTTGCAGGATTGGGCCCATTCATGAATTAAATATGCAAATGCTAACAAGATGTCCATTTTATATAAAATATTCTACAGATATTCCTTACTGCATATTCAGTATTACTATACTGTATTATTTTTAATCACCCTGGACTTTTGTTTAAATTGAGACTCATGTACACAAGAGAAATACTGACTACAATATGTTTAAAAAGATGCACCTTAATTTATCAATTAGGACCAATAACCAGTGGTTCACAATACAAGACCTAAATTAGTACTGTTTCCAGTCTCTTTTTTGTTAAAATAGGAATTTCACATGTTATTCACTCAATTATATTTTTAATAGAGCCGGCTTCAATTATTCATAAATTTCAGAAAAAAAACTATAAATTTGATAAATTCTGGATTTCCAAATGGAGTTTACAAAATAGAAAGGGAATAACCAGCAATCCAAATAACATATTGGAAACTCCGAGGGACTCTTTGAACCCATAAGTCTAACCCCCAATCAAGTCAATTTAGTCTTTCATTCTGCTGATGTAGATTTGGGCTCTTTTTGATGAAACCTTAAACCAAGGTTTTCTGCTTTAAGTGGATATAAAACATGCCATAGCCCATTTCCTCACTCTACTGCACTTTCATTCCAGAAAAAGCGACAAGTTTCTTGCACACATTATAAAGGGTTTTCAAAGCCTTCAGAAAAAGGTAGAATATAAAACAGCGTTACATTACTCTTTAGGTTGTAACTGTGCTGTAAAATTTGCTTCAAGATAAACCATAGTTTATTGGGTGTCAATCTGTACAAATCTGTATTAAAGCCACATAATTTTGTTTTAAATTAAAACAAGTATTTCAGTAACAGAACACATGTAAAGTGCTCACCTTTTAAAATAATATAAACAAATTATATTGTTCTTAAATTAGCATTGCACTGTACAAATCTCACCTCCTCCTACTCCCAGCCAAAACAATTCAAGAAAAAAAGTGACACGAAAAAGCTGTGTTAGAAAAAAACATGAATACGTAGGGGTATTCTCAAATATTTAAGTTCTGTATTAGATCACCATGACAACATCTACATTGATAATTTAATTTCTTCAAGTCAATGTTGTAGATTCTCAAGAAATGGAGGATCAGCCTAGTTTCTTTCTGGAATAAGGTATTTTCTGTAAAGTGTATACTACTTGTAAAATTAGCATCCTCTTCTAACATGCAACATCTTGAGAAACATCAGAAAGTAACAGCATGTTTATTTTTCAGATAAATTATGAGATTAATAGAGTGTATTAGCAGTTCTATGAGAGCTACAAGAAGGAAAATGCTTATGATTCAATGGCTTTGCTGCATAAAAGTTTTCATATGCGTTTATTTGCAGACCTTGAAATTAAGCATCACTGAAACAGGGTAAAGCACAGAGGTCTCCTACATCTCACGATAGTACAGATTCAGAAGGAAGTAATTTTCAATGTATGCTGTTGTTTATCAATCAGCAATTTGGTAAGTGACATATAAGCCAGTATGAAATATGAAGCACTTGATTCTACTAGCTGAGCACAAAATTTAAATGTATTATAGTTTCCTACATTAGTAAAGCCCCAAAGGAATACTACCATCCCCTCCATATTCTACTGCAATTTTCTCCCCAACCATTCCCCCATACCCTACCAAAAGCACAAAAGCTGTTTGTTTGAAGTTCAACACACTTAGATAGCCTGGACAACTAAAGATTCCTGTGTACCTCTGAAATAGTATTTTGACAAACAGCAGAATGTGTGTGCCTAACAAACTCCTCTTGTAAGAGACTACATTTTTTACTGTTGCTACTCTGATCAAATCCCATATTGTCCCTTGTGATCTAACAAGATCATAAGTCAAAAGTATTCCACCATTTTTCAAAAGATAATTTGTATAGTGTAACAAAGTTGTTTCAGAAAAAATCCTAACACACATGTAGGAATGCCAGATTTTTTTCCTTAATAAGCTCCAGCCTATTCAGGTAACCAGAACTAGAACTGTTGCAAATCAAAGTTTTAATGGTAACATGATGATCAATTGCTTGATATAATGATATGTGATATAATGATCTTAAACATTTTCCTTCAATACTAAAACATTACTTTCATCTCTTAAAGAGCCACTGTTGCTTTGGTTAGAGATCAGACCTTTTTTTATAAAAAGTAGATGTCCAATTACTTTAAAATGGTAAATAAGTCACATATATGTTCTTACATATTTGTGTTTGCTTTATAACTCCTTTAAAGTGAATAAAAAAGAATCTGGAACATAACCATTAAGATTCCAAATTGAGAAGAGACTAAACATTTTAAAAATAAACAAAATAGAAACTGAGTTTCTTCCCATTCTAACTACTCTAACTTCACTGTCTTCAATACAATTAATCCTGATTGGCCCCTGTCTAACAGAAGAATCAATGTATCTTCAAGACAAAATATTTTGAAATTTTTCATGTGTGTTATGTAACCCTACATTTGATGATGTCGCTATCAAACTGCACAATACTTTAAAAAAGAAAGTACGTAGTAATATGGAGAGATCAGAATTTCTAACACGTAATCTGTAATTATTTCATTCGTTATGATATTGCTAGAATAAAGAATAAAAACAAAATGCAATTACTTTAGACAGATTACCATTATTTGAGCCTAAGCATTAACTTACAAACTTGGGCTCAAACAGTATTTTTGGTTATTCCCAAGTCAGTATTTTTGCAAAACAGATCCATAGATTAAGCTGCCAAGTTTAATGACCATTCAAAAAATAAGGATGATTTATTAGAACACCTCATTTAAAGTTTTGTTGGCCTCTGTGATGGAGCAAGAAATCATATAATGTTTTAAAAATAAATAAGGCTGCAAGGGTGAACTATTTAGGAATCTAATCCCAAAGCTAACACAAAATGAAGCAATTACTGTGTGTTTTATGAAATATAGTAAGAGCAACCCACGCAAACACTGAACATGCTAGTTCCTTTCAACTGGGCAACTGTTTCAGGATATGAAGCCTCGCTGATTCAGCACTATAGCAGAGAGAACCTCCAAGCTAGTACGCTTTTGAGTGCTTTCTTTGGAAAGTGTAACACTAGGGCTGCCAGTGTGGGCTAGATTTAACCCTGCATGTTTCATCACAGTCTAATTAAAGATTAAAGATTTAATTGCTGGCGACTCCAGGCCAATCCTGGAGGGTTGGCAACCCTGCACACCACTGCCTTTGGCCAGCTAGGAGCTTCAGCCTAAAGAATAAGCTGCCTGCAAAAAAAGGGGAGGGACAAAAGTCTGCCAGTGCTGCCCACAGCCCGAGAGGCGGCCGGGCCCGGGACAGAGGAGGAGGCCGATCCGAATGACCCGCTGAATTGCTGCACGTTGCA